CTCACTCTTATTACCTATAAATACGAGTGAGTATAAATTGAATTTTCAAGAATATCAATCCAGAACTTTTAGTCTAATCCTTCTTGAAAGTCGGTAATATATATAAAATAAGTGTTGTTACGTCATTTTATAGCCGAAAGGCCTCCCTGACTAGCTGACCTCCCTCTCATTTGTATTTATAAGTCCTCATCTATAGATAAGAGCTTCGAGAGCCTGTTTACGAACCAATGTCTACAAGTCGCAAAACAAACTAACCAGACTGGCCCACTCGTATTTATATTCACTCGTATTACCTATAAATACGAGTGAGTATAAATTGAAATTTCGAGATTATCAATCCAGAACTTTCAATCTAATCCATCTTGAAAGCCCATAATATGGATAACAAGTAAAAAAACATTAAGTTTGGAATGACAGCTATGGATTTTATTGTTTCGCCACCAGAGCTAGAACCCATTGTGACCAACAAATACCAATTTTTAGACAAATCCGTGAAAAAAATTTGACATAAATCATCAAAATAACGAATATCGGGAGGTACAGAGCTACACCAAAACGCGGACCGATCAGACACAATACAAATTGCTCTGCTAAATTTTGGCGCTCTACGTCAAATAATGTGGGCTGTAGCGTGATTTCAACAGACAGAGAGACGGACAGACAGACAGACAGACGAAGAGAAAGACGGACATCGTTAAATAGACTTAGAATTTTATGCTGATTATGAATATATATACTTTATGGGATCTACGACGAATATATAAGGATGTTACAAACGGAATGACAAAGTTAATATACCCTCCATTCCAAGGTGGAGGGTATAAAAAAAGTTGTTATATTTCCGGAAGGGATTCGTTTAGATTACGAATCTTACAAACCTTTGCTTAATAGTTCAGAATCGTTTATATCACCTCTTACAACAAAGCTTTACCTCGCTCCTAACTCACGTTTACAAGTCGCAATTCAATTCCGAATTGACTAGCTGACTTCCTACCCATCGACCTTTTCTAACAAATTACTACAAATCGCAATTTAAGTTAATTAGACTTACCTACTCGGATTTTTACTCACTCGTATTTATAAGTTCTCATCGAAATTTCAAGAATACCAATCCAGAACTTTCAACATCGAAATAACGATTTTAGACCTTATCCGTTTCAGGACAATTTGTCCGTCTGTCAATATTATGCAATTCCTTTGGAACCTTCTAAATAGAGGGTCAATAATCTGAATTATAATAATCAACAGTAATAGAAAATTGGTACCATATGGTACTTTTCACACAATTATAGGAAGCATTTCCAAATCCACATCCAAATCTCAATCCCAGATACCAACAGACCACTCATACATCAAGCTTTGGAACTTTAGCTCTATCCTTTCACCCTATACCCAATTTACTAACACCTACTACTTTTCGAACAATTATAGTACACATCTTCAAAACTACCTCTATATCTTAAGCACAGACACCAGCATTGACATCTGTTTCAAATTTCAGGATTTCAGCTCTATTCCTTCACCCCCATTCCATATTTAGTGCTTTTCGCACAATAATAGTACACATTTCCATAACCACCTCCATATCTCAATTCCAGATTCCAAAAGGGGCCTCCATATCAAGTTTAAGTTTTCCAGCACTATCCCTTCAACCAATAAAAAAAATTTAGTACTATTCGTAAAATTATAGTACACATTTCCAAAACCTCCTCAAAATCTCCAAATTCTAGATACCAACACAGATCTTAATATCAAATTTCGAGATTCCTGCTCTATCCCTTCACCCAATACCAAATTTAGTACCATTTACTATTTTTGTGTACAAATTTTAGGACGAATTCCCAAGCCACCGACAAATTTCAAACACAAATACAATCAGTGATTTAAATATTAAATTTTGGAGTCTTATCTCCATCGCCTTCACCCAATATCAAATCAAGTACCATTTAGTACTTTTCGTACAGTAAAAGTACACATTTTCAAAGCAATCGGCATATCTCATCCTCAGATATAAATTTCAGGATTTCAGCTCTGTAATTTTCCCCTTTATCAAATTAAGTATAATTTTGGTACACATTTGTAAGACGTCCTCTATATATTTCAATTTAAGATGCCAACAGAGAACTCAATATCAAATTTGAGAATTCCAACCATATCCCTTCACCCAATACTAAATTTAGTACCATTTACTTCATTTCGTATCAATATAGGACACATTTCCAAACCACCGCCAACTCTCAGACACGGATACCATCAGTTATAAAAATATCAAATTTTAGAATGTTATCTCTGTCCTTTGACAAAAACCAAATATAGTACCATTCAGTACTTAAGGTACAATTTTAGTACACACTTCCAAAACCACCTCCACATGACCAGGCTAAACATGAACAACGTTCCTAATGCCAAATTTCGGATTGCATACACCATCGGTTCACCCAAATCGAAATTGTACCAAATGTAGTACCATTTAGTACTTTACGTACACATAAGTACAAATTTGGAAAATTTCCTCCATATCCCAATCCTACATTATATCAGTAATGTTAATTTCGAATATAAGGATTCCAGTTCGAGCCGGTCCTCCACATTCAGATTGTACTAAATTTAGTACTTTTCGTATATAGGGTGAAGTAAAAAAACTGCATCAAAGCCAAAGGCCTAGTTTTTACATTTTTTTTAAAAAATGTCGGAAGTAGCATCAAATTTTAGAATAAGATTAGATTTGTTCGAATTGGTCACCTTTGGCACGAATTATGGCCTTCAAACGGCCAATGAAACTGTCACGCGCTGATCGAATGTTACTCTTCGGTATTTTGATCCATTCCCGGCGAAGCGCTTGCTTGAATGAAGTGAGGAACCTCATTTTGCAACCAATCTTGGGCGGCGCGTGCTGAGTGCGATGGTGCTGAGTCCTGTTGGAGTGTGCAAGGTATGCGGACAAAATGTTTGCGTGCCCAAGGCTTTTTATACACCCTCCAGAATGAAACGGTCACACGCTGCCCGAATGTTGTTCTGTGGTATTTTGGCCCATTCCCGGCGAAGGGCTTGCTTGAGATGATCTACACTTTGGTATTTTTAGTGCTAACCTTGCTCTCCAAAACACTCCAGACACAATAGTCCAACGGATTTTCCGGATTCCGTAGATTTTGGTGGCCATTTTGGGCTGGAAATGTAGCGTGGAACCTCATTTTGTAACCATTCTTGGGTGACGCATGCTAAGTGCGACGGTGCTGAGTCCTGCTGGAATGTCCAAGGTCTGCGGCCAAGCTGTGTGCGTGCCCATAGCTTTATACACCCTCCATAATATTTTCGCACTAATATTCGGCATTTATTCTGATGCCACGGTCAATTAATACGAGCGGAGAGCGAGCATCGGCTGTTATGGGGGCCCACAACATCCCCATGGCCGGCGCTTGAGTTCTGGTGGCCAACAGAAGGTGCACATTTTCAAAAGACCTCTTTGGCATGTAAATACGATCATTTTGTTTGTTTACAAACTGTTGGACAGCGAATGTTTTCTCATCGGAGAAAATTAAATTCGGCAGGTTACCACTTTATGCCAAGCTCTTTTGAGTCTATTTTTGTCTGTTGCGGTGTATGTTCTTGCACTTTTCGGAATTTCAATGGCTTTACCCCGAGCTCATTTTTCAATATTTGCCGAATGGTATTTTACGATATTATGCTCGCGAGCCACTTTTCGCCACTGCGACGCGGGTTTTGATCAAGTCGCTTCTTTATTTTTCGAACCATTTCTGCTGATGATGCTGTTTTCTTCCGTCCAATTCCTTGACGTCGTGCTACGATACCAGTATCACGGTAACGAGCGATGGTACGAAACACAAAAGATTTATTCACATTTAAATGATGGAGTGCCCTAAGGATAGCCACTTGTGGTTTTCCAGCCAAATATAAAGAAATCACACTATCACGCTTGAATTCTGAATCACGAATAACATTTTTTCTGGGAAATTCTCACCAAAATGCTTTTGCATGCTTGTAAACAATATAATGAGCTATCACTGGAATAATTTTAACAGCTGTCGGATGAGTGGCTTAGAAATGACAGCAGTCTGAAGTTGATGCAGTTTTTTCATCCCACTCTGTATATCTTTAACCTATTTCGGGTTAATTGTGCACCAAATGGCCAATATCAGTCCAAATGACCTGAATTTTGGTACACCCGACCGAACTCAGTCTAGAAGCAAGTCCATCAAATTTTGTGAAAATCGGCTCAAATGTAGATATAGCTCCCTTATATAAGTTTCACCCGTTTGATATTTAAGTCCCTCACATTCGTAATATACATTCCAAAACAATGATATCATGTCAATGACCTGAATTCTCGCTCATCCAACGGAATTCAGTCTAGAAGCAAGTACGTCAAATTTGGAGAAAATCGGTTCAGATCGAGCTATAGCTCCCATATATATGTTTCAGCCGATTTGGGGTTTAAGTCCCTCACATTCGTAATATGCATTCGGCAATAATGATATTTGGTACTAGATATCTTATAGAACTCGGAAATATCTTTGCCAAATTTTATCGAGATCGGCTAAGATTTGGAGATATCTCTCATCTGTATCTTCAACCGATTCCGGGTTAATTGTGCACCAAATGACCAATATCTGTCCAAATGACCTGAATTTTGGCACATCCGACCGTATTCAGTCTAGAAGCAAGTACGTCAAATTTGGAGTAAATCGATTTAGATCGAGCTATAGCTCCCTTATATAAGTTATATCCGATTTAGGATTTTAGGCCCCTCACATGCGTAATATACATTCGGCAATAATAATATTTGGTACCAGATATCGGGTACAGCCTAGAAATATCTCTGGCAAATTTTATAGAGATTGGCTAAGATTTGGATATAGCTCCCGTATATATCCTTAATCCGATTTTAGCTCTATTCGGCTCCGGCCGATTTTTGACTTTTCCTTACTGGTTTATTTTATCTTCTAATTATTTAACTTTTTTTTCTTCCCCACTGTAGCCGCATTTAGGTAACATCGTACCAAGCAGAACAAACAACTCTGGGCTACAATAAATCCTCTCGGTTGTTTGTAGAACAACGCCAGAACACAACACTTGAAAATGAATAGTTTATGAAACAATAGGACACGGAAACAACAAAAACAAGGTATTCATTTAAGAGAGAGACTAGCGAACAGCGAAAAAATACATTACGTGAGAGCATCAAGTGGGCATCTGAAGAAAAAAAAAAAAAATAACCCGACATAAATCAAGTGGAAGCCACACGCAACTTCGCCCCCAACAACTGTTGCAAAAATGACTTCTAGAGATTATAACCTCTGTGTCCTGACATTGACAATTGTGGCATTGGTGGCGGGTCACAAGACAGCGGCAAATAGTGTCCTGCGCACCATACATGGGCAAGCACATCACCTGCATAGTTGCACCAAGGAGAAGCTCTTGGAGTTTCCCGACTTTAGTGTCATCACCGAGCTAAGTGTTCACAACTGTTATGTCCCCTCACTGGAGAATGCATTCTTTATACGCTTCTCTTCGCTGACCCATTTGGAAATTGTCGATAGCCAGTTATCCGAATTGGAGGATTATGCCTTGCATGGCCTAAGGCAATTACGTTCGCTATCCCTTGCCCACAACAACATAACCGAGGTCAAGTCATGGTCCAACGAACAAATGACAGCCCTGACCAGCTTGGATTTGAAAGGCAACAACATACGCTATTTAACTTTGAAGAGCTTCTTTCGCTACCCAAATCTGCAACGTTTACATTTGGCCGGAAATCTCCTCGATGATATCGATGATGGCATTTTCCGATGGATGCCGCATTTGAAGTATTTAAATTTGGGCCGCAATCGTTTGATCACTTTGGATAATCGCAATTTCCATGGTATGCATCGTCTGTCGTATTTGGCATTGCATTTTAATGAGATACGAGAAATTGAATCGGCCTCATTCGATACGAATTCACATTTGAGGACGCTACGTTTGGAGGGGAATTATTTAAGGGATTTGGATTTTCTGAAAGTTAAAAGTCTAACGCGTTTGCAGCACTTGAATTTGTCTTTTAATCTTCTGGACACCTTGGATGGGTTTGTCTTCTCGAAGGAATTTGAGGTGGTAACACTGGATTTGTCTCACAATCAGCTGGAGGAAATTACCGAGGATGTATTTCACGGCCTCGAGGCTTTGGAGGTGAGTAAGACATCTATTCAGGACATAAGGGGAAAATCCAGCAGATGATAAAAATAGAGTTAAAAAAGAAGTCCTGTTTATCGGCGCTTTAAAAGTTTACATCGCGAAGTAACCTAAATAGAGGGGAGAAGTTCCCCCCCCCCCCTCTTAAACATTTTCGAAAGGGGATTACTCGGAATCCGTGTATTTTAGGTACATAATGTCTTCGGCAATATTTCAGATAAAATTAGTAAAGAAAGTCTTAAAGTCGGGCGGGCCGACTTTATGATACCCTACACCACTTTGCTAATTTAGTAGAGCTCCGGGAGCTCTTGGGAGAATTCAATCGTACACCCTATGACTATAATTATAATTTAAAGTTCAAAAGACTAAATATGCCGAAGCATTTGTATCTTTTAAATTCGGACTTGTATTGCCCATTTGGTTCACAATTTGAAATCGGATAAAGATATATATGAGAGCTATATCTAAATCTGAACCGATCTCGATAAAATTTGGCAAATATATTTCAGAGCTATATTTGATATATTTCCCCAAATATCGTTGTTACAGAGTGCATATTACGGCGGCGGTGGACAAAAATAACAAATCGGATGAATAATATATATGGGAGCTATAGCTATATCTGAACCGATCTTCACCAAATTTGACATACTAGCTTCTAGACTCAATTAGGTCATATGTGCCGAATTCCATCCCATTTGGACAAATATTAGACATTTGGTGGACAATAAAAGGTAAATCGGACGAAGTTATATATGGGAGATATAATCAAATCCGAACTGATCTCAATAAAATTTAGCAAAGATATTTCTGAGCTGTATTTGATATATTTCCCTGAATATTGTTGTTACGGAGTGCATATTACGGCTGTGGGTAACAAATACGACAAATCGGATAAACAGTATATATGGGAGCTATAGCTATATCTGAACCGATCTTCACCAAATTTGACACACTAGCTTCTAGACCCAATTCTGTCGTATGTGTCAAATTTCATCCCATTTGGACAAATATTAGACGTTTGATGCACAATAAAAGGTAAATCGGACGAAGTTATATATGGAAGCTATATCCAATTCGGAACCTATCTCGATAAAATTTGGCAAAGATAATTCTGAGCTGTATTTGATATATTTCCCTGAATATCGTTGTTACGGAGTGCATATTACGGCTGTGGGTAGCAAATATAACAAATCGGATGAACACTATATATGGGAGCTATAGCTATATCTGAACCGATCTTCACCAAATTTGGCATACTACCTTCTAGACTCAATTCGGTCGTAAGTGCCAAATTTCATCCCATTTGGACCAATATTAGACGATTGGTGCAGAATAAAAGGTAAATCGGACGAAGTTATATATGGGAGATATTCGAAATCTGAACCGATCTCGATAAAATTTGGCAAAGATATTTCTGAGCTGTATTTGCTCCATTTCCCCAAATATTGCTATTACAGAGTGCATATTACGGCTGCGGAGGACAAAAATAACAAATCGGATGAACAATATATATGGGAGCTATAGCTATATCTGAACCGATTTCCATCAAATTTGGTATACTTATTTTCAGGCCTAATTTGGTTGTATGTGCAAAATTCCATATTATTCGGGCTGATATTACACGTTTGGTGCAGAATAAAAAGTAAATCGGACGAAGTTATATATGGGAGATATATCCAAATTTTGACCGATTATCTCCAATTTCAATAGGGTTCGTCCTTGGGCCAAACAAATGATTTGTGCAAAATTTCATCTGGATCGGGTAATAAATGCGAACTGTACTTTGTTTACAAAAATATATGGACAGACGGACGGACAGACGGACTGACATGCATAAATCGACTCAGAATGTGATTCTATGCAGATCATCAAGAGGAACTATGGGTCTATCTCGTTTCCTTTTGCCTGTTACAAACAAATGAAGAAAGACATAATACCCTGACCACCTTGTGGTGTAGGGTACAAATACAGGGAATATATAGATTTGCGAGGACCCTTGCAATAACTAGTAAAATCTGTGAGTCTCATTGTATAACTGCTGTACCAAAAGTTGGACATACAGTGAGTCTGAGTTAGAAGTATCCACTTGAGTTTTTTATGCCCTCAGGAAGGGGGGAGGGGCTATATGCCCCATTTAAATAACGATTAGACCCCAGGTCTTTTTGGACCAAATCCGTTTCAAGACATTTGGAGTCGATCTAGCGATGATCATCCGTCTGTCTGTCTGGCTGGCTGGTGTGCACGATAACTCTCGAAGGCAGTATCCGATTTGGTCCAAACTTGGTACATCGTAATATTATTGTCAAACTTAGATCGAGTTCGGTGATGGACAATATCGGCCCACTCCTTCTGGCACCTCCCCCACAAAATGTCAAAATTTTCAAACAAAATAGTTTATTGCACAGAAAGATAAAGGATAATCCGATTTTGCTCCAAATTTGAGAACCCTAACATTTTCATCAGTGCTAGGTCAGTTGCGAAAATATACAATAGCGGTCCACTCCATTAAGTACCTCCCCCACAAAGAGTCAAAGTTTTGAATAATTACAACTCTTATAAAATGTGATGTAAGAGTCCGATTGTCTTCATATTTCACACAACCTAATATTTTTATGTACCCAAAATCTGGTATTAAGACGGAATACATCGGTCCACTCCTTCTGGTACCTCCAACACAAAGGGTCAACAGTTTGAATAATCATAACTTAAGGCTGGTGATATACATTTATCGGAAAAACCGACTTGTTTTTCCCCTGCGAGTCAGGGAGCTGTACAAAAGCCTTTAAACCATTAACTGCGAATTTAAAGCCTACTTAGGTTCTAGGTTGTCTCTCTCCACGTTTCGTTCGGTGGTCTAAAAGTTTCAACAAAAAATCTGTAATTTGATAATTCAGATTACCATTAATAGAATCATTCCTTGCAGAACATTTCCAATATACGTCCACCATTTGATATAGCCTCCACGTAGCAGTATCTCCTGATTTGTAGTACTTTTAAGGTTTCAGATATGTTTTCCAAAAAAAAAAAAAATAAATAAATAAATAAATAAAAATTTGTTGGTTTTAAGAAATGAAAAATGTTCACTCCTCATCTCTCGATGGCGCCAGGTCATTGACCCTTTCAGCAATAACTTTTGGGTTTTCGAAATCGATAATATTGCTTGTTGACGTAGCCACCGAGTTTGGACTCAAATATTAATACCCTCCACCATTTTGAAGGAACTTGAAATATTTAAAAAAAATCCATAGAAAACGTGTAAAAAGGCTCTAAGTTCGTCCGGGCCGAACTACCCTCCACAATTTGGTAAAAATTTAACAATTTTCAAAAAAATAAAATTCGTTAAAAATTCTGTTAAAATCTTGAAAATACCTAATTTAGCCGTATATTAGAGTCTATACGACGACGTGGACCTGCATAGGCAACTTTTGTCAAAAGCTATTACAATATTCAAATGCGAAACTTTAAAAAAAATCGGTTTATAATGCAGTTAAAATCATCAAAATACCGAATACAGGGAGTTACAATCGGGGTCATAAAAGGAGGACCTGAAGGCTGTAGATTCCATTACGAACTTCAAATACGAAATTTGAAACAATTCCGGCAAATAATGCCGCTAAAATCATCTAAATACCGAATATCGGGGGGTACCGTTATATGGGGACTATACGAGACGTGGATCTGCACAGACAATTTTCTGTCTTAGGCTGTAGTATCCATTACGAACTTCAAATACGAAATTTGAAACCATCCCGCTAAATAATGTCGCTAAAATCATTAAAATACCGAATATCAGGAGGTAAAGTTATATGGAGACTATATGAAGATGGGGACCTGCATAGACAATATCCTGTCATAGGCTGTAGAATTCATCAAGAGCTCCAAATACCAAATTAGAAATAGTTCCGGTAAATAATGTCTCTAAAATCATCAAAATACCCAATATCGGGAGGTACCGATATATTGGTGCTATACGAAGACGTGGACCTGCACACACAATTTTCTGTCATAGGCTGTAGTATTCATCAAGAGCTCCAAATACCAAATTAGAAATAGTTCCGGTAAATAATGTCGCTAAAATCATCAATATACCGAATATCGGTAGGAGCTGTTATATGAGGCCTATACGAAGACGGGGACCTGCACAGATAATTTTTGCCTAAGCTGTAGTATTCATTACGAACTTCAAATACAAAATTTGAAACCATTCCGGTAAATCATGTCGCTTAAATCATCAAAATACCGAATATCGAGAGGTACCGTTATATGGGGGCTATACGAAGACGTGAACCCACATGGCCCATTTCCTGTTTTAGGCTTTAGGATCCATTACGAACTTCAAATAAGAAAAGTTGAAACCATTCCGGTAAATCATGTCGCTTAAATCATCAAAATACCGAATATCGAGAGGTACTGATATATGGGGCCTATACGAAGACGTGGACCTGCACATACAATTATCTGTCATAGGCTGTAGTATTTATTACGAACTTCAAATACCAAATTTGAAACGATTCTGGTGAAAAATATTCATAAAATCGTTAAAGTACCGAATATCGGGAGATACCTTTATATGAGGCTATACGAAGACGTGGACCTGCACACACATTTTTTGTCATAGGCTGTAGTATCCATTATGAACTTCAAATATTAAATTTGAAACGGCCAAAACGTGCATCTTCGAAGTTTTAGACCCTGGGTCTCCTTGGACAAAATCCGCTTCACGATATTTAGAGTCGATCTTTTTTTGTCATAGACTGTAGTATCCATTATAAACTTCAAATACGAAATTTGAAACAATTCCGGTAAATAATGTCGCTAAAATCATCAAAATACCGAATATCGGGAGGTACCGTTATACCGAAGAAGACATGGACCTGAACGGAATGTGTATATAAGTTAATATAAATTCCTGGCTTTTAGGTAAGATGTAGACTCTTGACGTCTTCCGGGACCTACAGTAGAATTGTATGACAAATAATTTTGTAGAATATTTTGACTTGCTAGGATCCCGTTTAAAGGGCAATTTATGCATTTTTTTAAAAAAGGACCAAAAAGACTCCTTTGTTGGCTCGTATGGGGGTTAAAATTTTCAACCGAAATATTCCCTGTGTTTTTATCTGCAATATTTCCAAAGGTACTATATGCCTAAAATGTATGGATACCACGATATCTTAATTCGAAAATTTCCAAAAGTTCTGGAAGCGGGGGGGAACTTGCCCCTCTATTTAGGTTATTTTGGGCTGTAAACTTTCAAAACGCCAATGTCTTCTTTTCTTAGCTCTTTAACAATCTCCTGATATTTCCCTGTAATTTTGTCGCACAGTGTAATTTAATTGCGTATCCCTTTCCTCCCCTTTCTTTCCAGCGTCTGAATATCAGCTACAACCTGCTGGAAAATGTTCCCTCACAAATATTCCAGGATCAGAGTAGCCTGGAATATTTAGAGATGAGTCATAATAAAATCTCTCATTTACCACCGGATGTTTTCAATGCCACACGCCAGCTGCAGTACATAGATTTATCGTACAATCTGATGAGTGACATAAATGCCAGCATTTTCAATGGCTTGTCATTTTTGCGCGATTTGGATTTATCCCATAATCAATTGTCCCGCGATGAATTCATAGAAATGCTAGCCGAAATTCCACTGCACAATGAGTTGCAATTGAATTTGACAGCAAATCATTTTCGGCTACTGAATATTACGGCTTTGTTAAATTTCGGACACGTCGAGTTGGCCGGTAATTGGTGGAGCTGTAAATGGTTGGTCCAAGAGATGATGCGCATGCCGAAGAGTATTAATTTTGGTCAAACCTATGCTGTGCATACGGAATGGAGTCTTTCGCTGCTGGAGACGAATGGCATCGATTGCTACGATGAGGATAGGAAGCGGAGTATTGTCATTTTGGATACATCGAAATTGTGGGAGCAGCGAATGGAATTGATCACCAGTGAGGTAAGTTTTATGGGAGATCGAGTGGTATTTGGGAAGACCTTTTTAAGGTCTAAATAAAATATTTTGAAAGTTATTCTTCCTTCAGTGGAAGAAATTTTGAAATGATTTTGAGAATTCCAATGAAAACTGTCTATGCAGGTCCACGTCTTCGTATAGCCTCCATATAACGGTACCTCCCGATATTCGGTATTTTGATGATGTTAGCGACAATATTCACCGGAATTGTTTCAAATTTGGTATTTGAAGTTCTTAATGGATATTACAGCCTATGACGGAAAATTGTCTGTGCAGGTCCACGCCTCCGTATAGCCCTCATATAACTGCCGATATTCGGTATTTTGACGATTTTAGCGACATTATTCACAGGAATTGTTTGAAATTAGGTATTTGTAGTTCGTAATGGATAGTGCAGCTTGTGGCAGAAAATTGTCCGTGCAGATCCACGTCTTCGCAGAGACCCCATATAATGGCACCTCCCTATATTCGGTATTTTATTTTAGCTACATTATTCACCGGAATTGTTTTAAATTTGGCACTTGAAGTTCGTAATGGGAACTACAGCCTAAGACAGAAAATTGTCCGTGCAGGTTCACGCCTTCATATGGCCTCCATATAACGGTACCTCCCGATATGCGGTATTTTGCTAATTTTTCCTAAATTATTCACCGGAATTGTTTCAAACTTGGTATTTGAAGTTCGCAATGGATACTATAGCCTGTGACAATAAATTGCGTGTGCAGGTCCACTTCGCATAGGCCCCATACATCAGTACCTCCCTATATTCGGTATTTTGATGATTTTAGGGACATTATTCACCGGAATTGTTTCATATTTGGTATCTGAAATTCTTAATGGATATTACAGCCTATGACAGAAAATTGTCTGTGCAGGTCCACGCCTTCGTATAGTCACCATATATCTGTATCTTCCGATATTTGGTATGTTGATGATTTTAGAGAATTATTAACCGGAATTGTTTCAAATTTGGTATTTCAAGTTCGTTATGGATGCTACAGCCTATGACAGAAAATAGTCTGTGCAGGTCCACGTCTTCGCATAGCCCTCATATAACGGTACCTCCCTATATTCGGTATTTTGACCATTTTAGCTACTTTATTCACCGGAATTGTTACAAATTTCGTATTTGAAGTTCGCAATAGATGGTACAACCTATGACGGAAAATTTCCTCTGCAGGTCCACGTATTCATATAGCCCCCATATAACGGCACCTTCCGATATTCGATATTTTGATGACTTTAGCGACATTATTCGCCGGAATTGCTTCAAATTTGGCATTTGAAGTTCGTAATGAATACTACAACCTATGACAGAAAATTGTCTGTGTTGGTCCACGCCTTCATATAGCCCCCATATAACAGTACCTCCCGATATTCGGTATTTTGATGATTTTAGCTAAATTATTCACCGGAATTGTTTCAAATTTGGTATTTGAAGTTCGCAATAGATACTACAGCCTATGACAGAAAATTGTCTGTGCAGGTCCACGTCTTCCCATAGGTTCCATACATCAGTACCCCCCAATATTCCGTATTTTGATGATTTTAGCGCCATTATTCACCGGAATTGTTTCAAATTTGGTATTTGAAATTTCTAGTAGATACTACAGCCTATGACAGAAAATTGTATGTGCAGGTCCACGTCTTCGTATAGCCCCCAAATATCAGTACCTCCCTATATTCGGTATTTTGTTGATTTTAGCGGCATTATTCACCGGAATTCTTTCAAATTTGGTATTTGTTGTTCGTAGTGGATACTAAAGCCTATGACAGAAAATTGTCTTTGCAGGTCCACATTTTCGTATAGTCCCCATGTAACGGTACCTCCCGATATTCGGTATTTTGATGATTGCAGCGACACTATTCACCTGCATTGTTTGAAATTTGGTATTTGATGTTCGTAATGGACACTACAGCCTATGACAGAAAATTGTCTGTGCAGGTCCACGTCTTCGCATAGCCCCCATATAACAGTACCTTCCGATATTCGGTATTTTGATGATTTTAGCGACATTATTAACCGGAATAGTTTCAAATTTGGTACCTGAAGTTCGTAATGGATTCTACAGCCTATGAAAGAAAAGTTCTTATGCTGGTCGAGGTCTTCGTATAGCCCCCATACAACGGTACCTTCCGATATTTGGTCTTTTGAGGATTTTAGCGCATTATTCGACGGATTTTTTTAAGTTTCGCATTTGAATATTGTAACGGCTTATAACAAACGTTACCTTAGAAGGTCCACGTCTTCGTATAGACCCCAATATAACGGCTATGTTCGATATTTTTAAGATTTTAACCGAAATTTTAACGGATTTTATTTTTTTGAAAATTTCAAATTTAGTTCCAAAGTTCGGCCAGGCCGAACTTATTGCTTTTTTTATTTGTTTCTAATTTCTTGATATCTTTTCCTAGCACCCCACCCCCTTGGAAACCCATCCATCGCCACCCCCTCTATTCTGGCCCAAGATACGCATGGATAAATTCGACTCTCGCTCTGTGGTCATATGGATGCTCATTGCCATTGCCTTGGCTTTTTCGGCTCTGAGAATTGCCCGAAAATTGGTCGATCGCAAAGAGAGGCTTTCCAAACTGAAAAAGGCAAAGGTAATGGATTTCCAAATCTTTAAAAAAATAAATCTGAAAAACCCACTAATTTAAATTTTTTCTTCGTTCTGACAGGACAAATTACAGAAAAACGAACCCAAGTTGCCAACGTTGGAAGAAGCCGAAACAGATAGTCTCACCGATACAGATGGCAAGGCCCCAGCGAAAGCAAATCATCGATCGTAGCTGAGTTGAAAGAAAAAATAATTTAAATTTTTATTTAAATTAGGATTAAATTTGAATGTTGATGTATTCCCTCCCTTTCGTTGGTGTTTGAATGTAAACGACATTTTTTTTTTGCGAAAACGAATGTGACCCACAATTTTTTGGAAATTACGTAAACAATAAAAAATATATTTTATATGGAATATATTTAATTATTTTAATTGTTTCTTTTTTTGATTTTAATAAATATTTTTTTTTGTAGAAAGAAAGGTCACATTATTTTTGGAATGTAAACCGGTTTCAGGTCCACTTAATTTATTTAAGAAGCTACAAAACTTTGGCACCCTCAAGTACTTTGTCTTATCTTACCAAGCTCAGTTTTGTTAAAAGTGTCTGTCCAACGGGTCTTGAAAGAAGTGCGGCGAATAATCAACAAAGTATCTGTAGTAAGAATTAAATATCCGAAATTTAATCCGGGAAAGAATAACCGAGGAGTTTTTGAAGAAGATGTTTTAAAGGCCATATTCCTGGCCATATCCTTTTTTCAAAGACTTCCTATAATTTTTTTAAATAAAGTATTTTTATACCCTACACCTCATAGTGGTAAGGGTATTATGTCTTTGTGCATTTGCCTGTAATATGGAGAAGAAAGCGAGATAGGTCCATTCTTACTTTTGAGAATCTTCATAGAATCACTTTCTGAGTCGAGTTATGCACGTCAGTTTATGTATTCTTGTGAAAAAATGCAGGTCTCATTTATTATCCGAGTGAGATGAAATTCTCCAAGCAATATTTTTTTTTTGGCCCAAGGACGAACCCTTTGAAATTGGTGATAATCGGATAAGATTTAGATATAGCTCCCATATATAACTTCAACCGATTTCGGGTTAATTGTGAACTAAATGCCTAATTTCAGCCCAAATGGATTGAATTTTGCCAAATCCAACCGAATTCAGTCTAGAAGCAAGTACATCAAATTTGGAGAAAATCGGTTGGAATATAGCTATGGATCCCATTTATATATTTCATCCGATCTGGGGTTTAAAGTCCCTCACATTCGTAATATGCATCCGACAACAATGATATTTGGTACCAGATATCTTATAGAGCTCGGAAATACCTTTGCTAAATTTCATCAACATCGGTTCAAATTTAAATATAGCCCCATATATATCATCAACCGATTTCGGGTTAATTGTCCACCAAGTGGCCAATATCAGTCCAAATGATCTGAATTTTGGCACATCCAATTGAAATCAGTCTAGAAGCAAGTACATTAAATTTGGAGAAAATCGGTTCATATATAGCTATAGCTCTTATATATATATGTTTCATCCGATTTGGTGTTTAAGTCCCTCATATTCGTAATATGCATTCGACAACAATGATATTTGGTTCCAAATATCTTATAAAGTTCGGAAATACCTCTGCCAAATTTTATCGAGAAAGACCAAGATTTGGATATGGCTCCAATAGTATAGTGGTATAGCATTAGGTATAATATAGTCGGCCCCGTCCGACTTTTGACTTTTCTTTACTGTAATCTTAAATTTGTGAGAAAAAGTTGGTTGAAAAAGGTCGGTATCCGTACCATGATTCCGGAAAAGTAGCTTTTAGTTGGTGGACGGACCCGAAAGTCCGGGTTCAAGATCCAAGATAGACCCGGACCTGCTAAGCCGATATGGTATAATTTGAAAGTCAATTGAAGTACCTATCCATTGATTTGTTGTGGATTTTGTTGACTCCCAGAATGGGACCTTCTTCGACATTTGGGATTTTTTCAAAAAAAAATCCTGGTACAAAAAATCAAAAATTTTGATACAATTCCCAAACCATATTAAATGATTTTTCAAAAAATTGTCTTTCAAGGAATACTAATGGCTCGTAGATTTTAAAAATATTTTTTCAAGGACTATTACTGTTTAGAAAAGTTTTGAAAATATATAAATTGCTGGAATATGAAGAGCTTGTGGACTAATTTTAATAATAATTTTTTTTGGACAATCAAAAATTCCAGAATTCTTAGAAATATTTTGTCAAGGAGGAAAACAGGAGAAGGATTTATTTTCTAATATTTTTCAAGCACTGACAAATGTTCAAAATATTGAATATATTCCAAAGATTCGTGTATTTTTTAAATCTAGTTTATAATTCATTTTTTGAGGTAAAAAAAATAAGTTCTCAATTACTATTAAAAGCAGGTTGATATGTTTTCATACCATATAAAATTCTGATTGATTTTGATAAAAATTTGAAAAATATATTTAAAAGGGATATCAAAGGCTCGTGGATTTTTTAAAGATTTTTGCCAGGATTATATAACGCTCGTGGATTTTTCAAAGCTATTTTTCCAGGAATATTAAAGGCTCTTGGATTTTTAAAAGTTATTTTGCCAAGGCTATGAAAGACTCGTGGATTTTCAAAAGTTATTTTGCCAGTACTCGTGGAATTTTCCAAGGACTATCAACTGATGGTCCTTGAAAAAATATTTTTTAAAAAATCCAAGTTTCTTCAACTGATGGTCCTTGATAAAATATTCTTTAAAAATCCAAGTTTCTTCAACTGATTGTCCTTGAAAAATATTTTTTAAAAAAATCCACGTTTCTTCAACTGATGGTCCTTGAAAAAATATTCTTTAAAAAATCCACGTTTCTTCAACTGATGGTCGTTAAAAAAATATTCTTTAAAAAATCCACGTTTCTTCAACTGAGGGTCCTTGAAAAAATATTCTTTAAAAAATCCACGTTTCTTCAACTGATGGTCGTTGAAAAAATATTATTTAAAAAATCCACGTTTCTTCAACTGATGGTCCTTGAAAAAATATTATTTAAAAAATCCACGTTTCTTCAACTGATGGTCGTTGAAAAAATATTCTTTAAAAAAACCAAGTTTCTTCAACTGATGGTCCTTGAAAAAATATTCTTTAAAAATCCACGTTTCTTCAACTGATGGTCGTTGAAAAAATATTTTTTAAAAAATCCACGTTTCTTCAACTGAGGGTCCTTGAAAAAATATTCTTTAAAAAATCCACGTTTCTTCAACTGGTGGTCGTTGAAAAAATATTTTTTAAAAAATCCACGTTTCTTCAACTGAAGGTCCTTGAAAAAATATTTTTTAAAAAATTCACGTTTCTTCAACTGATGGTCCTTGAAAAAATATTCTTTAAAAAATCCATGTTTCTTCAACTGATGGTCGTTGAAAAAATATTTTTTAAAAAATCCACGTTTCTTCAACTGATGGTCGTTGAAAAAATATTTTTTAAAAAATCAACGTTTCTTCAACTGAGGGTCCTTGAAAAAATATTCTTTAAAAAATCCACGTTTCTTCAACTGGTGGTCGTTGAAAAAATATTTTTTAAAAAATCCACGTTTCTTCAACTGATGGTCGTTGAAAAAATATTTTTTAAAAAATTCACTTTTCTTCAACTGATGGCCCTTGAAAAAATATTCTTTAAAAAATCAACGTTTCTTCAACTGATGGTCCTTGAAAAAATATTCTTTAAAAAATCCACGTTTCTGCAACTGATGGTCCTTGAAAAAATATATTTTAAAAAATCCACGTTTCTTCAACTGATGGTCGTTGAAAAAATATTTTTTAAAAAATTCACTTTTCTTCAACTGATGGTCCTTGAAAAAATATTCTTTAAAAAATCAACGTTTCTTCAACTGATGGTCCTTGAAAAAATATTCTTTAAAAAATCCACGTTTCTGCAACTGATGGTCCTTGAAAAAATATATTTTAAAAAATCCACGTTTCTTCAACTGATGGTCGTTGAAAAAATATTTTTTAAAAAATCAACGTTTCTTCAACTGATGGTCGTTGAAAAAATATTTTTTAAAAAATCCACGTTTCTTCAACTGATGGTCGTTGAAAAAATATTTTTTAAAAAATCCACGTTTCTTCAACTGATGGTCGTTGAAAAAATATTTTTTAAAAAATCCACGTTTCTTCAACTGATGGTCGTTGAAAAAATATTTTTTAAAAAATCCACGTTTTTTCAACTGATGGTCGTTGAAAAAATATTTTTTAAAAAATCCTCGTTTCTTCAACTGATGGTCGTTGAAAAAATATTTTTTAAAAAATCCACGTTTCTTCAACTGATGGTCGTTGAAAAAATATTTTTTAAAAAATCCACGTTTCTTCAACTGATGGTCGTTGAAAAAATATTTTTAAAAAATCGACGTTTCTTCAACTGAAGGTGCTTGAAAAAATATTTTTTTAAAAAATCAACGTTTCTTCAACTGAAGGTGCTTGAAAAAATATTTTTTTAAAAAATCAACGTTTCTTCAACTGATGGCCGTTGAAAAAATATTCTTTAAAAAATCCACGTTTCTTCAACTGATGGTCGTTGAAAAAATATTCTTTAAACAAGTAAAAAAACATTAAGTTCGGCCGGGCCAAACTTTTAATACCCTCCACCCTAGGGTAAAAGAACATTAGAAAAAATGTGGCAAAAAACATTAAAATGCGAATATCGGGAGGTACCGTTAAAAAGGGGGCTACACCAACACGTGCACCTATAATTACAATGTTTCGCCACACGACCTAGGACCCATTATGACCCACAAATACCAACTTTTACACAAATCAGTGAAAAAATATGGCATAAATCATCAAAATACCGAATATCGGGAGGTACCGTTATATGGGGACTATACCAGAACGTGGACCTATACATGCAATGTTTTGCTACACGCTCAGGGACCCGTTGTGACCTACAAATACCAATTTTCAGACAAATCCGTGAAAAAATGTGGCATAAATCATCAAAATACCGAATATCGGTAGGTACCATTATATGGGGGCTATACCAAAACGTGGACCTATACATGCAATGTTTTGCCACACGCTCAGGGACCCGTCATGACCTACAAATACCAATTTTCAGATAAATCCGTGAAAAAATGTGGCATAAATCATCAAAATACCGAATATCGGGAGGTACCGTTATATGGGGACTATACCAGAACGTGGACCGATATATCTCATTTTCAATACCAATCATCCTAGGGACAATACACACACTTGTGCCAAATTTCAAAGGTCTACGTCAAATAATGTGTGCTCTATCGTGATTTCAACAGACAGACAGACAGACAGACGGACAGACAGACGGACAGACAGACAGACAGACGGACATCGCTAAATCGTCTTAGAATTTTATGCTGATTATGAATATATATACTTTATGGGGTCTACGACGAATATTTAGAGGTGTTACAAACGGAATGACAAAGTTAATATACCCTCCTACCCATGGTGGAGGGTATAAAAATCCACGCTTCTTCAACTGATGGTCGTTGAAAAAATATTCTTTAAAAAATCCACGTTTCTTCAACTGATGGTCGTTGAAAAAATATTCTTTAAAAAATCCACGCTTCTTCAACTGATGGTCGTTGAAAAAATATTCTTTAAAAAATCCACGTTTCTTCAACTGATGGTCGTCGAAAAAATATTCTTTAAAAAATCCACGTTTCTTCAACTGATGGTCGTCGAAAAAATATTCTTTAAAAAATCCACGTTTCTTCAACTGATGGTCGTTGAAAAAATATTCTTTAAAAAATCCACGTTTCTTCAACTGATGGTCGTTGAAAAAATATTCTTTAAAAAATCCACGTTTCTTCAACTGATGGTCCTTGAAAAAATATTTTTTAAAAAATCCACGTTTCTGATGGTCCTTGAAAAAATATTTTTTAAAAAATCCACGTTTCTGATGGTCCTTGAAAAAATATTTTTTAAAAAATCCACGTTTCTGATGGTCCTTGAAAAAATATTTTTTAAAAAATCCACGTTTCTGATGGTCCTTGAAAAAATATTTTTTAAAAAATCCACGTTTCTGATGGCCCTTGAAAAAATATTTCTTAAAAAATCCACGTTTCTGATGGTCCTTGAAAAAATATTTTTTAAAAAATCCACGTTTCTGATGGTCCTTGAAAAAATATTTTTTAAAAAATCCACGTTTCTTCAACTGATGGTCCTTGAAAAAATATTTTTTAAAAAATCCACGTTTCTTCAACTGATGGTCCTTGAAAAAATATTTTTTAAAAAATCCACGTTTCTTCAACTGATGGTCCTTGAAAAAATATTTTTTAAAAAATCCACGTTTCTTCAACTGATGGTCCTTGAAAAAATATTTTTTAAAAAATCCACGTTTCTTCAACTGATGGTCCTTGAAAAAATATTTTTTAAAAAATCCACGTTTCTTCAACTGATGGTCCTTGAAAAAATATTTTTTAAAAAATCCACGTTTCTTCAACTGATGGTCCTTGAAAAAATATTCTTTAAAAAATCCACGTTTCTTCAACTGAGGGTCCTTGAAAAAATATCCTTTAAAAAATCCACGTTTCTTCAACTGAGGGTCCTTGAAAAAATATTCTTTAAAAAATCCACGTTTCTTGGTCTTTGAAAAAATATTCTTTAAAAAATCAACGTTTCTTCAACTGAGGGTCCTTGAAAAAATATTTCTTCAACTGAGGGTCCTTGAAAAAATATTCTTTAAAAAATCCACGTTTCTTCAACTGAGGGTCCTTGAAAAAATATTCTTTAAAAAATACACGTTTCTTCAACTGAGGGTCCTTGAAAAAATATTCTTTAAAAAATCCACGTTTCTTGGTCTTTGGTCCTTGAAAAAATATTCTTTAAAAAATCAACGTTTCTTCAACTGAGGGTCCTTGAAAAAATATTCTTTAAAAAGTCCACGCTTCAGAATATTATTTCACAGCCTAATTGGAGAACCCTTAAATATAAATCTGAAGTTTTTATCGTCATTTATCAGCTGATTTTAAATAGAAGAAGAAGAGTGACCAATTATCAAAAAATGACTTGGCAAAAAACTCAAGATTAATTATTTTCGAATATTTTTGCCAAATAAATATTTTGATATTTTTTTACAGACCTCGTTACATTGTCTCGCTGATAAGCGGAAAAAATATCAAAGATCAATGTTTTGTTTTGTTTTTTTCCAGACCATTTCACAGCTTCTTTGTTCTGCAGAGCACCGATGGATGGAAAAAAGATCGCCTCTTAACGAAGTTCATGCAAAAAAGTTCAGTTGTAAATTGCATCGCTTGACAAAATGACATCGCTTAAAGCGGCAACAAGGTACATCTCATGCTCGCTGCATGAGCCTGTCAAAATATTGGCCAGCGAGGAAAGCCTGGCGGATATTATACCCCAGACTATACCGGAATTTTTCCATCAATGTTGTGAGAAATTTCAAGATCTGCCAGCTTTGGCCTATAAAGATAAACTGGAGATGTGGACCACAGTGACATATGGAGAATATCGTGAAAATGTGGAACAAGCCGCCTTGGCCTTACTCTATTTGGGGGTGCAGCCGCGTACCTCTGTGGGTATCTTGGCTCACAACTGCCCGGAATGGTTTTATGTCAATTTGGCTGCAATACGCATTAATGCCATATCCGCGGGAATTTATACCACAAATTCTGCAGAGGCGGTGTTTCATGTTCTTGAAACCTCCGATGCCAGTGTTGTGGTTGTGGGTGATAGCAAACAATTGGAGAAGATACGTTCGATACGCTCAAGTGTGCCCAACTTGAGGGCTGTTGTACAGCTCCATGGTCCCTTTGATTTCGATAAGGATCAGCAGGAGGATGGATTTTATCGTTGGCCGGATTTATTTGAAATGCAATTCAGTTCGGCGCTGAGAGATGAGCTGCTATTGCGTGAACGTCAAGTGGCGCCTAACGATTGTGCGGAACTTATATTTACGGTAGGTCCAATTTACTCCTCAAAATTCAATTTTAATTTCATTTTCTTAACTCCAGTCCGGTACCGTTGGCCTACCCAAGGGGTGTATGATCTCCCACGATGGCTTCTTGTATGCGGCAAAATGCATAAATCGCCAAATGAAGTATCTGTGTCAAGGTCGTGAGAGGGTCATCTCTTATTTACCGCTAAATCACATAGCCGCCATGCTTTTCGATATGCTGATGGGTATGGAAAATGGTGCAGTAACTTATTTTGCTGATCGCAATGCTTTGAAGGGTACACTTTTGCGGACGCTGAGGGAAGTCCAACCGACAGTGATGTTTGGAGTTCCAAGGATTTTTGAAAAAATACAAGAACAACTGGTGTTGTATGAGGCCAATGCCGGATGCCTGAAGAAATGCTTGCTGCAGAAGGCCAGAGCGGTCATGGAGGAGTATCACCTGAATCGGTTTGAGGGGTAAGATATGGTCGTTGAAAAAATATTCTATAAAAAATCCATGTTTCTGATGGTCTTTGAAAAAATATTTTAAAAAAAAAACAGGTTTATGGAAGTCCTTGAAAAAATATTTTTTAAAAAATCCAGGTTTATGGTAGTCCTAGAAAAAATATTTTTTAAAAAATCCACGTTGAAAAAATATTTTTTAAAAGATCCAAGTTGCAAAAATATTTTTTAAAAAATCCACGTTGAAAAAATATTTTTTAAAAGATCCAAGTTGCAAAAATATTTTTTAAAAAATCCACGTTGAAAAAATATTTTTTAAAAGATCCAAGTTGCAAAAATATTTTTTAAAAAATCCACGTTGAAAAAATATTTTTTAAAAGATCCAAGTTGCAAAAATATTTTTTAAAAAATCCACGTTGAAAAAATATTTTTTTTAAAGATCCAAGTTGCAAATATATTTTTAAAAAAAATCCACGTTTATGGAAGTCCTTGAAAAATATTTTTTAAAAAATCCACGTTGAAAAAATATTTTTTAAAAGATCCAAGTTGCAAAAATAATTTTTTAAAAAATCCACGTTGAAAAAATATTTTTTAAAAGATCCAAGTTGCAAATATATTTTTTAAAAAAAATCCACGTTTATTGAAGTCCTTGAAAAAATATTTTTTAAAAAATCCACGTTGAAAAAATATTTTTTAAAAGATCCAAATTGCAAAAATATTTTTTAAAAAATCCACGTTGAAAAAATATTTTTTAAAAGATCCAAGTTGCAAAAATATTTTTTAAAAAATCCACGTTGAAAAAATATTTTTTAAAAGATCCAAGTTGCAAAAATATTTTTTAAAAAAATCCACGTTTATGGAAGTCCTTGAAAAAATATTTTTTAAAAAATGCATGTTTATGGAAGTCGTTGAAAACATATTTTTTAAAAAATCCACGTTAAAAAAATATTTTTTACAAAATCCACCTTGAAAAAATATTTTTTAAAAAATCCAACCTGAAAAAAATATTTTTTAAAAAATCCACGTTTATGGAAGTCCTTGAAAAATATTTTTTAAAAAATCCACGTTTATGGAAGTCCTTGAAAAATATTTTTAAAAAATCCACGTTTATGGAAGTCCTTGAAAAATATTTTTTAAAAAATCCACGTTTATGGAAGTCCTTGAAAAATATTTTTTAAAAAATCCACGTTTATGGAAGTCCTTGAAAAATATTTTTTAAAAAATCCACGTTTATGGAAGTCCTTGAAAATATTTTTTAAAAAATCCACGTTTATGGAAGTCCTTGAAAAATATTTTTTAAAAAATCCACGTTTATGGAAGTCCTTGAAAAATATTTTTTAAAAAATCCACGTTTATGGAAGTCCTTGAAAAATATTTTTTAAAAAATCCACGTTTATGGAAGTCCTTGAAAAATATTTTTTAAAAAATCCACGTTTATGGAAGTCCTTGAAAAATATTTTTTAAAAAATCCACGTTTATGGAAGTCCTTGAAAAATATTTTTTAAAAAATCCACGTTTATGGAAGTCCTTGAAAAATATTTTTTAAAAAATCCACGTTTATGGAAGTCCTTGAAAAATATTTTTTAAAAAATCCACGTTTATGGAAGTCCTTGAAAAATATTTTTAAAAAATCCACGTTTATGGAAGTCCTTGAAAAATATTTTTTAAAAAATCCACGTTTATGGAAGTCCTTGAAAAATATTTTTTAAAAAATCCACGTTTATGGAAGTCCTTGAAAAATATTTTTAAAAAATCCACGTTTATGGAAGTCCTTGAAAAATATTTTTTAAAAAATCCACGTTTATGGAAGTCCTTGAAAAATATTTTTTAAAAAATCCACGTTTATGGAAGTCCTTGAAAAATATTTTTTAAAAAATCCACGTTTATGGAAGTCCTTGAAAAATATTTTTTAAAAAATCCACGTTTATGGAAGTCCTTGAAAAATATTTTTTAAAAAATCCACGTTTATGGAAGTCCTTGAAAGATATTTTTTAAAAAATCCACGTTTATGGAAGTCCTTTAAAAAATATTTTTTAAAAAATCCACGTTTATGGAAGTCCTTGAAAGATATTTTTTAAAAAATCCACGTTTATGGAAGTCCTTTAAAAAATATTTTTTAAAAAATCCACGTTTATGGAAGTCCTTGAAAAAATATTTTTTTAAAAAAACCACGTTTCTGATGGTCCTTGAAAAAATATTTTTTTAAAAAAACCACGTTTCTGATGGTCCTTGAAAAAATATTTTTTAAAAAATCCACGTTTATGGAAGACCTTGAAAAAATATTTTTTTAAAAAAACCACGTTTCTGATGGTCCTTGAAAAAATATTTTTTTAAAAAAACCACGTTTCTGATGGTCCTTGAAAAAATATTTTTTAAAAAATCCACGTTTATGGAAGTCCTTTAAGAAATATTTTTTAAAAAATCCACGTTTATGGAAGTCCTTGAAAAAATATTTTTTTAAAAAAACCACGTTTCTGATGGTCCTTGAAAAATATTTTTTAAAAAATCCACGTTTATGGAAGTCCTTGAAAAAATATTTTTTTAAAAAATCCACGTTTCTGATGGTCTTTGTAAAAATAATTTTTAAAAAATCCACGTTTCTGATGGTCTTTGTAAAAATAATTTTTAAAAAATCCACGTTTATGGAAGTCTTTGAAAAAATATTTTTTTTGAAAAATCCACGTTTATGGAAGTCCTTGAAAAAATATTTTTTTTAAAAAATCCACGTTTATGGAAGTCCTTAAAAAAATATTCTCTAAAAAAATCACTTGTTTTCATTTCAGCAAACCCGTTTCTAATCTTAAATATTGGCTAGCCTCAAAGATCACCAATCGCCTGAAGGAGGCCTTGGGTTTTGGGGCCATGAAAGACTGTCTAATCGGCGCAGCCCCTGTCACGGAGGGATTACTGCGTTTCTTTTTAAGCCTAGATATGCCGTTGACCAATGTTTTCGGCATGTCTGAGACAAGTGGGGGTATTATCTTCAATTTTGAGAAGATAAATTTGACAGCTACCGGGAGACCTATTGATGGGGTGGAGGTTACGATAAAGGATCCAAGTGGTGATAATGGCGAAGGAGAGGTGAAAAATTTTAGGTTCCGAATTATCGCTTTTTCTAAAAATTATGAATTTCTAGCTCCTTGTCCGTGGTCGAACCAATTTCATGGGTTACCTCAAGCAACCGGAAAAGACCAGGGACACAATTACCGAAGATGGTTGGATTATGACTGGAGATGTGGCCTATTTGGATGACCAGGGTTATGTTTATGTAAATGGTCGCATCAAGGAACTCATCATTACGGCCGGAGGGGAAAATATACCACCTTTGCATATTGAGACAATTATTAAAAAGGAGTTGCCATGTCTCAGCAATGTCATGGTCATTGGGGATCATAGAAAATATTTGACAGCATTACTGACATTTAAGGTACGATAGCAGGTTTTACAAACCTTTAAAAATTGATAACTAATAATACCCTTTCCTTTTAGACCGACATGGATCCCCACACAGGATATCCCAAAGATACCCTCTTACCCGAAACCAAAGAATGGTTGGCCCCATTGGATTTGCACTACAGCCATCTCTCGGAAATGCTGCACATCGAAATACCCGAAAATTTGCAAGACTTTGATCCCAACTCCGTGGAGGTTCAGCTTGATAATAAAATCCATGTGACTTTGGAATCGGCCATACAGCGCTATAACGACCAGGCCATATCCAATGCCCAAAAGATTCAATATTTTAGCGTGTTGCCGCATGATTTTTCAATACCCACTGGGGAATTGGGTAGGTTTGGATTTCGGAAAGAAATTTAATTTAATTAAATAAAATTTAATTAAATTTTAATTTTAATTCAAAAAATATAATTAATTTAATTTGAGATTAATTTGTCTTCATTTAATATAATTTATGTATTTATTCCCCCTCGCCTTTAAGGTCCCACATTGAAAATTCGCCGCAACATTGTACACACCAAATACGCCAAGATCATTGACAGAATGTACGACATGCGATAAGAGCGGTGCGAGTTAAACAAACTGAAGACAGATTATGAATGAAAAAAACATGCAGAGATTTTTGTCGTTTAATGACAGCTGACCGCTTATCATTTTGAATTTTAAATGTCAATTTGTATGTGTGTATGAATATATGAATATATTTGCTTGATATTATTGTTGTAAGATTTTAATGAATTTGAATAAATTTCCAAAAAAAAATCTTTAGCGGAGATAAAATATTTTTTCGAAGCAATAAATAATGGTAGATTTGTAAAAAAATATTTTTTTCGTGGCTGTAAATAAACGTGGTTTTTTTAAACATATTTTTTCGACACTATAAATAAAAGTGGATTTTTTAAAAATATTTTTTTCGAGGCTATAAATAAAATTGGATTTTTTAAAAATATTTTTTCGAGGCTATAAATAAACGTGGATTTTTTAAAAATATTTTCTTCGAGACTATAAATAAACGTGGATTTTTTTGAAAATATTTTTTGGGAGACTATAAATAAAAGTGGATTTTGTAAAAATATTTTTTCCGAGGCTATAAATAAACGTGGATTTTTAAAAAACATTTTTAAGACTATAAATAAACGTAAATTTTGTAAAAATATTTTTTCCGAGGCTATAAATAAACGTGGATTTTTAAAAAATATTTTTTCCGAGGCTATAAATAAACGTGGATTTTTTTAAAATATTTTTTCCGAGGCTATAAATAAACGTGGATTTTTTTAAAATATTTTTTCCGAGGCTATAAATAAACGTGGATTTTAAAAAAATATTTTTTCCGAGGCTATAAATAAACGTGGATTTTTAAAAAATATTTTTTCCGAGGCTATAAATAAACGTGGATTTTTTTAAAATATTTTTTCCGAGGCTATAAATAAACGTGGATTTTTTTAAAATATTTTTTCCGAGGCTATAAATAAACGTGGATTTTTAAAAAATATTTTTTCCGAGGCTATAAATAAACGTGGATTTTTTTAAAATATTTTTTCCGAGGCTATAAATAAACGTGGATTTTTTTAAAATATTTTTTCCGAGGCTATAAATAAACGTAGATTTTTAAAAAATATTTTTTCCGAGGCTATAAATAAACGTGGATTTTTTTAAAATATTTTTTCCGAGGCTATAAATAAACGTGGATTTTTTTAAAATATTTTTTCCGAGGCTATAAATAAACGTGGATTTTTAAAAAAATATTTTTTTCGAGGCTATAAATAAACGTGGATTTTTTAAAAATGTTGTCTTCGAGGCTATAAATAAACGTGAATTTTTCAAAAATATTTTTTTCGAGGCTATAAATAAACGTGGAATTTATTAAAAATATTTTTTCGAGGCTATAAATAGAAGTGGAATTTATTAAAAATATTGTCTTCGAGGCTATAAATAAACGTGGATTTTTAAAAAATATTTTTCCGAGGCTATAAATAAACGTGGATTTTTAAAAAATATTTTTTCCGAGGCTATAAATAAACGTGGATTTTTTTAAAATATTTTTTCCGAGGCTATAAATAAACGTGGATTTTTAAAAAATATTTTTTCCGAGGCTATAAATAAACGTGGATTTTTTTTAAAATATTTTTTCCGAGGCTATAAATATACGTGGATTTTTAAAAAACATTTTTAAGACTATAAATAAACGTGGATTTTTTCAAAATATTTTTTTCAAGGCTATAAATGAATCCGGAATTTTTAGAAATATTTTTTTCGAGGCTACAACTAAACGTGGATTTTTAAAAAACATTTTTAAGACTATAAATAAACGTGGATTTTTTAAAAAACATTTTTAAGACTATAAATAAACGTGGATTTTTTAAAAATATTTTTTTCGAGTCTATAAATGAATCCGGAATTTTTAGAAATATTTTTTCCGAGGCTACAACTAAACGTGGATTTTTTAAAAATATTTTTTTCGAGTCTATAAATGAATCCGGAATTTTTAGAAATATTTTTTCCGAGGCTACAACTAAACGTGGATTTTTTAAAAATATTTTTTTCGAGGCTACAACTAAACGTGGATTTTTTAAAAATATTTTTTTTGAGGCTATAAATGAATCCGGAATTTTTAGAAATATTTTTTTCGAGGCTACAAATAAACGTGGATTTTTAAAAAATATTTTTTTCGAGGCTACAACTAAACGTGGATTTTTTAAAAATATTTTTTTCGAGGCTACAAATAAACGTGGATTTTTAAAAAACATTTTTAAGACTATAAATAAACGTGGATTTTTTAGAAATATTTTTTTCGAGGCTACAAATAAACGTAGATTTTTTAAAAATATTTTTTTCGAGGCTACAAATAAACGTGGATTTTTTAAAAATATTTTTTTCGAGGCTATGAATAAACGTGGAGTTTTTAGAAATATTTTTTTCGAAGCTATAAAAAACGTGGATTCTTTAAAAATATTTTTTTCTAGGCTACAAATAAACGTGGACTACCATAAACGTGGAAAAATCCAGGTTTATGGTAGTCCTAGAAAAAATATTTTTTAAAAAATCCACGTTGAAAAAATATTTTTTAAAAGATCCAAGTTGCAAAAATATTTTTTAAAAAATCCACGTTGAAAAAATATTTTTTAAAAGATCCAAGTTGCAAAAATATTTTTTAAAAAATCCACGTTGAAAAAATATTTTTTAAAAGATCCAAGTTGCAAAAATATTTTTTAAAAAATCCACGTTGAAAAAATATTTTTTTTAAAGATCCAAGTTGCAAATATATTTTTAAAAAAAATCCACGTTTATGGAAGTCCTTGAAAAATATTTTTTAAAAAATCCACGTTGAAAAAATATTTTTTAAAAGATCCAAGTTGCAAAAATAATTTTTTAAAAAATCCACGTTGAAAAAATATTTTTTAAAAGATCCAAGTTGCAAATATATTTTTTAAAAAAAATCCACGTTTATTGAAGTCCTTGAAAAAATATTTTTTAAAAGATCCAAATTGCAAAAATATTTTTTAAAAAATCCACGTTGAAAAAATATTTTTTAAAAGATCCAAGTTGCAAAAATATTTTTTAAAAAATCCACGTTGAAAAAATATTTTTTAAAAGATCCAAGTTGCAAAAATATTTTTTAAAAAAATCCACGTTTATGGAAGTCCTTGAAAAAATATTTTTTAAAAAATGCATGTTTATGGAAGTCGTTGAAAAAATATTTTTTAAAAAATCCACGTTAAAAAAATATTTTTTACAAAATCCACCTTGAAAAAATATTTTTTAAAAAATCCAACCTGAAAAAAATATTTTTTAAAAAATCCACGTTTATGGAAGTCCTTGAAAAATATTTTTTAAAAAATCCACGTTTATGGAAGTCCTTGAAAAATATTTTTTAAAAAATCCACGTTTATGGAAGTCCTTGAAAAATATTTTTTAAAAAATCCACGTTTATGGAAGTCCTTGAAAAATATTTTTTAAAAAATCCACGTTTATGGAAGTCCTTGAAAAATATTTTTTAAAAAATCCACGTTTATGGAAGTCCTTGAAAAATATTTTTTAAAAAATCCACGTTTATGGAAGTCCTTGAAAAATATTTTTTAAAAAATCCACGTTTATGGAAGTCCTTGAAAAATATTTTTTAAAAAATCCACGTTTATGGAAGTCCTTGAAAAATATTTTTTAAAAAATCCACGTTTATGGAAGTCCTTGAAAAATATTTTTTAAAAAATCCACGTTTATGGAAGTCCTTGAAAAATATTTTTTAAAAAATCCACGTTTATGGAAGTCCTTGAAAAATATTTTTTAAAAAATCCACGTTTATGGAAGTCCTTGAAAAATATTTTTTAAAAAATCCACGTTTATGGAAGTCCTTGAAAAATATTTTTTAAAAAATCCACGTTTATGGAAGTCCTTGAAAGATATTTTTTAAAAAATCCACGTTTATGGAAGTCCTTTAAAAAATATTTTTTAAAAAATCCACGTTTATGGAAGTCCTTGAAAAAATATTTTTTTAAAAAAACCACGTTTCTGATGGTCCTTGAAAAAATATTTTTTTAAAAAAAACCACGTTTCTGATGGTCCTTGAAAAAATATTTTTTAAAAAATCCACGTTTATGGAAGACCTTGAAAAAATATTTTTTTAAAAAAACCACGTTTCTGATGGTCCTTGAAAAAATATTTTTTTAAAAAAACCACGTTTCTGATGGTCCTTGAAAAAATATTTTTTAAAAAATCCACGTTTATGGAAGTCCTTTAAGAAATATTTTTTAAAAAATCCAAGTTTATGGAAGTCCTTGAAAAAATATTTTTTTAAAAAAACCACGTTTCTGATGGTCCTTGAAAAATATTTTTTAAAAAATCCACGTTTATGGAAGTCCTTGAAAAAATATTTTTTTAAAAAATCCACGTTTCTGATGGTCTTTGTAAAAATAATTTTTAAAAAATCCACGTTTCTGATGGTCTTTGTAAAAATAATTTTTAAAAAATCCACGTTTATGGAAGTCTTTGAAAAAATATTTTTTTTGAAAAATCCACGTTTATGGAAGTCCTTGAAAAAATATTTTTTTTAAAAAATCCACGTTTATGGAAGTCCTTAAAAAAATATTCTCTAAAAAAATCACTTGTTTTCATTTCAGCAAACCCGTTTCTAATCTTAAATATTGGCTAGCCTCAAAGATCACCAATCGCCTGAAGGAGGCCTTGGGTTTTGGGGCCATGAAAGACTGTCTAATCGGCGCAGCCCCTGTCACGGAGGGATTACTGCGTTTCTTTTTAAGCCTAGATATGCCGTTGACCAATGTTTTCGGCATGTCTGAGACAAGTGGGGGTATTATCTTCAATTTTGAGAAGATAAATTTGACAGCTACCGGGAGACCTATTGATGGGGTGGAGGTTACGATAAAGGATCCAAGTGGTGATAATGGCGAAGGAGAGGTGAAAAATTTTAGGTTCCGAATTATCGCTTTTTCTAAAAATTATGAATTTCTAGCTCCTTGTCCGTGGTCGAACCAATTTCATGGGTTACCTCAAGCAACCGGAAAAGACCAGGGACACAATTACCGAAGATGGTTGGATTATGACTGGAGATGTGGCCTATTTGGATGACCAGGGTTATGTTTATGTAAATGGTCGCATCAAGGAACTCATCATTACGGCCGGAGGGGAAAATATACCACCTTTGCATATTGAGACAATTATTAAAAAGGAGTTGCCATGTCTCAGCAATGTCATGGTCATTGGGGATCATAGAAAATATTTGACATCATTACTGACATTTAAGGTACGATAGCAGGTTTTACAAACCTTTAAAAATTGATAACTAATAATACCCTTTCCTTTTAGACCGACATGGATCCCCACACAGGATATCCCAAAGATACCCTCTTACCCGAAACCAAAGAATGGTTGGCCCCATTGGATTTGCACTACAGCCATCTCTCGGAAATGCTGCACATCGAAATACCCAAAAATTTGCAAGACTTTGATCCCAACTCCGTGGAGGTTCAGCTTGATAATAAAATCCATGTGACTTTGGAATCGGCCATACAGCGCTATAACGACCAGGCCATATCCAATGCCCAAAAGATTCAATATTTTAGCGTGTTGCCGCATGATTTTTCAATACCCACTGGGGAATTGGGTAGGTTTGGATTTCGGAAAGAAATTTAATTTAATTAAATAAAATTTAATTAAATTTTAATTTTAATTCAAAAAATATAATTAATTTAATTTGAGATTAATTTGTCTTCATTTAATATAATTTATGTATTTATTCCCCCTCGCCTTTAAGGTCCCACATTGAAAATTCGCCGCAACATTGTACACACCAAATACGCCAAGATCATTGACAGAATGTACGACATGCGATAAGAGCGGTGCGAGTTAAACAAACTGAAGACAGATTATGAATGAAAAAAACATGCAGAGATTTTTGTCGTTTAATGACAGCTGACCGCTTATCATTTTGAATTTTAAATGTCAATTTGTATGTGTGTATGAATATATGAATATATTTGCTTGATATTATTGTTGTAAGATTTTAATGAATTTGAATAAATTTCCAAAAAAAAATCTTTAGCGGAGATAAAATATTTTTTCGAAGCAATAAATAATGGTAGATTTGTAAAAAAATATTTTTTTCGTGGCTGTAAATAAACGTGGTTTTTTTAAACATATTTTTTCGACACTATAAATAAAAGTGGATTTTTTAAAAATATTTTTTTCGAGGCTATAAATAAAATTGGATTTTTTAAAAATATTTTTTCGAGGCTATAAATAAACGTGGATTTTTTAAAAATATTTTCTTCGAGACTATAAATAAACGTGGATTTTTTTGAAAATATTTTTTGGGAGACTATAAATAAAAGTGGATTTTGTAAAAATATTTTTTCCGAGGCTATAAATAAACGTGGATTTTTAAAAAACATTTTTAAGACTATAAATAAACGTAAATTTTGTAAAAATATTTTTTCCGAGGCTATAAATAAACGTGGATTTTTAAAAAATATTTTTTCCGAGGCTATAAATAAACGTGGATTTTTTTAAAATATTTTTTCCGAGGCTATAAATAAACGTGGATTTTTTTAAAATATTTTTTCCGAGGCTATAAATAAACGTGGATTTTAAAAAAATATTTTTTCCGAGGCTATAAATAAACGTGGATTTTTAAAAAATATTTTTTCCGAGGCTATAAATAAACGTGGATTTTTTTAAAATATTTTTTCCGAGGCTATAAATAAACGTGGATTTTTTTAAAATATTTTTTCCGAGGCTATAAATAAACGTGGATTTTTAAAAAATATTTTTTCCGAGGCTATAAATAAACGTGGATTTTTTTAAAATATTTTTTCCGAGGCTATAAATAAACGTGGATTTTTTTAAAATATTTTTTCCGAGGCTATAAATAAACGTAGATTTTTAAAAAATATTTTTTCCGAGGCTATAAATAAACGTGGATTTTTTTAAAATATTTTTTCCGAGGCTATAAATAAACGTGGATTTTTTTAAAATATTTTTTCCGAGGCTATAAATAAACGTGGATTTTTAAAAAAATATTTTTTTCGAGGCTATAAATAAACGTGGATTTTTTAAAAATGTTGTCTTCGAGGCTATAAATAAACGTGAATTTTTCAAAAATATTTTTTTCGAGGCTATAAATAAACGTGGAATTTATTAAAAATATTTTTTCGAGGCTATAAATAGAAGTGGAATTTATTAAAAATATTGTCTTCGAGGCTATAAATAAACGTGGATTTTTAAAAAATATTTTTCCGAGGCTATAAATAAACGTGGATTTTTAAAAAATATTTTTTCCGAGGCTATAAATAAACGTGGATTTTTTTAAAATATTTTTTCCGAGGCTATAAATAAACGTGGATTTTTAAAAAATATTTTTTCCGAGGCTATAAATAAACGTGGATTTTTTTTAAAATATTTTTTCCGAGGCTATAAATATACGTGGATTTTTAAAAAACATTTTTAAGACTATAAATAAACGTGGATTTTTTCAAAATATTTTTTTCAAGGCTATAAATGAATCCGGAATTTTTAGAAATATTTTTTTCGAGGCTACAACTAAACGTGGATTTTTAAAAAACATTTTTAAGACTATAAATAAACGTGGATTTTTTAAAAAACATTTTTAAGACTATAAATAAACGTGGATTTTTTAAAAATATTTTTTTCGAGTCTATAAATGAATCCGGAATTTTTAGAAATATTTTTTCCGAGGCTACAACTAAACGTGGATTTTTTAAAAATATTTTTTTTCGAGTCTATAAATGAATCCGGAATTTTTAGAAATATTTTTTCCGAGGCTACAACTAAACGTGGATTTTTTAAAAATATTTTTTTCGAGGCTACAACTAAACGTGGATTTTTTAAAAATATTTTTTTTGAGGCTATAAATGAATCCGGAATTTTTAGAAATATTTTTTTCGAGGCTACAAATAAACGTGGATTTTTAAAAAATATTTTTTTCGAGGCTACAACTAAACGTGGATTTTTTAAAAATATTTTTTTCGAGGCTACAAATAAACGTGGATTTTTAAAAAACATTTTTAAGACTATAAATAAACGTGGATTTTTTAGAAATATTTTTTTCGAGGCTACAAATAAACGTGGATTTTTTAAAAATATTTTTTTCGAGGCTACAAATAAACGTGGATTTTTTAAAAATATTTTTTTCGAGGCTATGAATAAACGTGGAGTTTTTAGAAATATTTTTTTCGAAGCTATAAAAAACGTGGATTCTTTAAAAATATTTTTTTCTAGGCTACAAATAAACGTGGATTTTTTAAAAATATTTTTTGAGTCTATAAATAAACGTGGATTATTTAAAAATATTTTTTATAGGCTATAAATAAACGTGGATTTTTTAAAATTATTTTTTTCGAGGCTATAAATAAACGTGCATTTTTTTTAATATTTTTTTCGAGGCTATAAAAAAAGTGGATTTTTTAAAAATATTTTTTTCGAGGCTTTAAATAAACGTGGATTTTTTAAAAATATTTTTTTCGAGGCTATAAATAAACGTTGATTTTTAAAAAAATATTTTTTTCGAGGCTGTAAATAAACGTTGGTTTTTTTAAAGAAAATTTTTTTCGAGACTATAAACAAACGTGGATTTTTTAAAAATATTTTTTTCGAGACTGTAAACCAACGTGGATTTTTTAAAAATATTTTTTTTCGATACTATATACAAACGTGGATTTTATTAAAAATATTTTTTTCGAGACTAAAAATTAACGTGGATTTTTTAAAAATATTTTTTCGAGACTATAAACAAACGTGGATTTTTAAAAAATATTTTTTTCGAGACTATAAAAAAACGGGGGTTTCTTAAAAATATTTTTTTCGAGACCATAAATAAACGTGGATTTTTCAAAAATATATTTTTCGAGACTATAAAAAAACGGGGGTTTTTTAAAAATATTTTTTTCGGGGCTACAAATAAACGTGGATTTTTTAAAAATATTTTTTTCGAGGCTATAAATAAACGTGGATTTTTTAAAAATATTTTTTTCGAGGCTATAAATAAACGTGGATTTATTTATAAATATTTTTTTTCAAGGCTATAAATAAACGTGGATTTTTTAAAAAATAATTTTTTCGAGGCTATAAATAAATGTGGATTTTTTAAAAAAAATTTTTTGAGGCTATAAATAAACGTGGATTTTTTAAAAATATTTTTTTCAAGGCTATAAATAAACGTGGATTTTTTAAAAATATTTTTTTCGAGGCTATAAATAAATGTGGATTTTTTAAAAATATTTTTTTCGAGGCTATAAATAAACGTGGATTTTTTAAAAATATTTTTTTTCGAGGCTATAAATAAACGTGGTTTTTTTAAAAGTATTTTTTTCGAGGCTATAAATAAACGTGGATTTTTTAAAAATATTTTTTTCGAGGCTATAAATAAACGTGGATTTTTTAAAAATATTTTTTTTTTCGAGGCTATAAATAAACGTGGATTTTTTAAAAATATTTTTTCGAGGTTATAGGATAAACGTGGATTTTTTAAAAATATTTTTTCGTGGTTATAAGATAAACGTGGATTTTTTAAAAATATTTTTTCGAAGTTATAAGATAAACGTGGATTTTTTTAAAATATTTTTTCGAGGTTATAGGATAAACGTGGATTTTTTAAAAATATTTTTTCGAGGTTATAAGATAAACGTGAATTTTTTAAAAATAGTTTTTCGAGGTTATAAGATAAACGTGGATTTTTTAAAAATATTTTTTTCGAACCAATAAATAAACGTGGATTTTTTAAAAATATTTTTTTCGAACCAATAAATAAACGTGGATTTTTTAAAAATATTTTTTTCGTAGTTATAAATAAGCGTGGATTTTTTAAAAATATTTTTTTCGTAGTTATAAATAAGCGTGGATTTTTTAAAAATATTTTTTTCGTAGTTATAAATATGCGTGGATTTTTTAAAAATATTTTTTTCGTAGTTATAAATAAGCGTGGATTTTTTAAAAATATTTTTTTCGTAGTTATAAATATGCGTGGATTTTTTAAAAATATTTTTTTCGTAGTTATAAATAAGCGTGGATTTTTTAAAAATATTTTTTTCGTAGTTATAAATAAGCGTGGATTTTTTAAAAATATTTTTTTCGAGACTCTAAATAAACGTGGATTTTTTAAAAATATTTTTTTCGAGACTCTAAATAAACATGAATTTTTTAAAAATATTTTTTTCGTAGTTATAAATAAGCGTGGATTTTTTAAAAATATTTTTTTCGAGATTCTAAATAAACGTGGATTTTTTAAAAATATTTTTCCAGGCTAATAATCAACGCGGATATTTTAAAAAATATTTTTTCGAGGCTATAAATAAACGTGGATTTAAAAAAAAATCGGGGCTATAAAAAAACGTGGATATTTTTAAAAATATTTTTTTCGAGATTATTAGAAAACGTGGATTTAAAAAAAATAGGGACTATAAACAAACGTGGATATTTTTAAAAATATTTTCTTCAAGATTATTAATAAACGTGGATTTTTTAAAAATATTTGTTCAAGGCTATAAAGAAATGTTTGTTTTTTAAAAATATTTTTTCGAGGCTACAAAAACGTCGATTTTTTAAAAATATTTTTTTCGAAGCTATAAATAAACGTGGATTTTTTTAAAAATATTTTTTTTGAGACTATAAATAAACGTGAATTTTTTAAAAATATTTTTTTTCGAGACTATAAATAAACGTCGATTTTGTAGAAATATTTTATTTCTCGTTTAACAACAGCGTCCATAAGTAGTTATTCGGGATGTTCAAATACATTGTATTCATTTTAGCATACATTAATTAGTTCTCAACTTTTATTTAGTGTGTAGGTCTAATTCATTGTCAATCGGAGCTTTGCTAATAACTATAATTATCAATTTACACAAACCTATTAATTTTTTTGCACTTTTTTAGTGGACAAAAATTGTGGGTCTGGTCAAAAAAAAAAAAAAAAAAACAAAAAAAAAAATTATCTTTAATTCCATAAACTTTTAAGCACATTCGTATACGTATAGACCAATCAATGCATAATTAACAAATTTAAAGAAAAAAAATCAGTTGTTTAGTGTATTTTTTAATTATTACCGGCTACGATTATCTGACGCCAAGTGTTTCAATATCAAATTGAAGATCAAGTTCAAAATGTAATATCTTAATAGCATCAGTATGTACATGCGTATTAGAAACCTATAAATATCAACAATGTAGATATAATTAACACAGTTTGAGTTTATTCGCATTAAGCAACTCGTGTGTGATTATAATTGAAAACAAATTAAGAAAGTTTTATTGGATTTATATCGTCTGGAGGATATATTGTGCGGTAACAACAATAAGAAGCCAATCTGCAGTAAAGTATGCCCACCAGGTGTCATTCGAAAATTCGTGAAAAGACCAAGTATAGATGGGCTCTTGAAAAATATTTTAAAAAATCCACTTTTATATAAAAAATATTTTTAAAAAAATCCACGTTTATATATAGGCTCGAAAAAATATTTTTAAAAAATCCACATTTATTTATAGGCTCGAAAAAATATTTTTAAAAAATCAACATTTATTTATAGGCTCGAAAAAATATTTTTAAAAAATCCACGTTTATTTATTGCCTGGAAAAAATATTTCTAAAAAATCCACGTTTATTATTGCCTCTAAAAAATATTTCTAAAAAATCCACGTTTATTTATTGGCTCGAAAAAATATTTCTAAAAAATCCGCGTTTATTTATTGACTAGAAAAAATATTTCTAAAAAATCCACGTTTATTTATTGGATAAAAAAAAATATTTTTAAAAAATCCACGTTTATTTATTGCATCAAACAAATATTTTTAAAAAATCCACGGTTATTTACAGCCTCGAAAAAAATATTTCTAAAAAATCCACGTTTATTTATAGTCTCGAAAAAATATTTTTAAAAAATCCACGTTTATTTATAGGCTCGAAAAAATATTTTAAGAAAATCCACGTTTATTTATAGTCTCGAAAAAATATTTTTAAAAAATCCACGTTTATTTATAGGCTCGAAAAAATATTTTAAGAAAATCCACGTTTATTTATAGGTTCGAAAAAATATATTTAAAAAATTCACGTTTATTTATAGGCTCGAAAAAATATTTTAAGAAAATCCACGTCCGAAAAAATATTTTTAAAAAATTTACGTTTATTTATAGCCTCGGAAAAAAAATTATTAAAAAATCCATGTTTATTTATAGCCTCGAAAAAATATTTTTAAAAAAATCCACGTTTATATATAGTTGGAAAAAAATATTTTTAAAAAAATCCACGTTTACTTATAGTTGGAAAAAAAATATTTTTAAAAAAATCCACGTTTATTTATAGTTGGAAAAAAATATTTTTAAAAAATTCCACGTTTATTTATAGTTGGAAAAAAAATATTTTTAAAAAAATCCACGTTTACTTATAGTTGGAAAAAAAATATTTTTAAAAAAATCCACGTTTATTTATAGTTGGAAAAAAAAATATTTTTAAAAAATCCACGTTTATTTATAGTTGAAAAAAAAAACATTTTTAAAAAAATCCACGTTTATTTATAGTTGGAAAAAAATATTTTTAAAAAATCCACGTTCATTTATAATCTCGAGAAAATTTTTTTAAAAAATCCACGATTATTCACAGCCTTGAAAAATTATTTTTAAAAAATCCATGTTTATTCATAGCCTTGAAAAAATATTTTTAAAAAACCCACGTTTATTCATAGCCTCGAAAGAAATATTTTTAAGAAATCCACGTTTATTTATAGCCTCGAAAAAAATATTTTTTAAAAAATCCACGTTTATTTATAGCCTCGAAAAAAATATTTTTTAAAAAATCCACATTTATTTATAGCCTCGGAAAAAATATTTTTAAAATATCCACGTTTCTTTATAGCCTCGAAAAAATATTTAAAAAAAAAATCCACGTTTATTTATAGTAACGAAAGAAATATTTTTAAAAAATCCACGTTTATTTATAGTAACGAAAGAAATATTTTAAAAAAATCCACGTTTATTTATAGTAACGAAAGAAATATTTTTAAAAAATCCACGTTTATTTATAGTAACGAAAGAAATATTTTTAAAAAATCCAAGTTTATTTATAGCCTCGAAAAAAATATTTTTAAAAAATCCACGTTTATTTATAGCCTCGAAAAAAATATTTTTAAAAAATTAATGTTTATTTGTAGCCTCGAAAAAAAAATATTTTTAAAAAATCCACTTTTATTTATAGTCTCGAAAAAATATTTTTAAAAAATCCACGTTTATTTATAGGCTCGAAAAAATATTTTTAAAAAATCCACTTTTATTTATAGTTTCGAAAAAATTTTTTTAAAAAATCCACTTTTATTTATAGTTTCGAAAAAATATTTTTAAAAAATCCACGCCTGTTTATAGTTTCGAAAAAATATTTTTTAAAAAATCCAAGTTTATTTATAGGCTCGAAAAAATATTTTTTAAAAATCCACATTTATTTATAGTTTCGAAAAAATATTTTTAAAAAATCCACGTTTATTTATAGCCTCGAAAATATATTTTTTCAGAAATTCCCATCATCCCCAACCCCAGCCTCTCCCAATGACCCACCTAAAACCCGCCACCACTTACACTTCCTGTTGCCTACATGAGCCGGTAAAATTATTGGCCTCCACCGAAAGCCTAAATGACATCCAGCCAAAAACTATACCCGGATTTTTCCGAGAATGTTGTGAAAAATACCAAACCCACACAGCCTTGGCTTACAAGGCAGACAACCCCGGCCACAATTCCAACAACTGGACCCACATAACCTACAATGACTACTTCGAAAATGTTGAAAAAGCCGCCTTAGCATTACTCCATCTTGGCGTTGAGGCTCGCTCCTCAGTTGCCATACTGGCGGCTAATTGTCCCGAATGGTTTTACATTGAGTTGGCAGCGTTACGTATCAATGCTGTGGTGGCTGGGATTTATACAACCAATTCCGCGGAGGCAGTCTATCATGTTTTGGAGACATCCGATGCTTCAGTGGTTGTGGTCGACAATAGCCAACAAATGGAAAAAATTCGAGCTATACGTTCACGTTTACCCAAACTGAAGGCTATTGTTCAATTATCGGCACCTTATGATTTTGAGGAAACTGATGAGAAGAGCGGCTATTACTCGTGGGCGAATTTAATGCAGCTGGATTTTGGAAAGGGTTTGCGAAACGAGTTATTATTCCGTGAAGAGGATGTGGCTGCCAATATGTGTTCTCTGCTGATATTTACGGTGAGTGATTTTTGGTTCTTGTTTCGGGTATAGATAAAAGTTCATAAAAACCAGAGCATATTTTCAGGCGAAAAATAATCTTCGAAATTTGGGATGGGAAAAGGTTAGTCATCCGCGGCCAAACAAAACCGAGTGAATCTAAGTAGGCCTCAAACCGATCATATAAAGGAAAGAGAAGATCTCCATAGGATTCTTCTATAGAATGCAAGAGCCCTTAGGGGTCTTCCATGGAATAGAAGTACCCTTAGGGGTCCTCTATAGAATAGAAGAGCCCTTTACGGGTCTTCTATAGAATAGAAGAGCTCTCAGGGGTCTTCTATATGGAATAGAAGAGCCCTCAGGGGGCCTTCTATATGGAATAGAAGAGCCCTCAGGGGGCCTTCTATATAGAATAGAAGAGCCCTCAAGGGGGTCTTCTATATCGAATAGAAGAGCCCTCAAGGGGGTCTTCTATATCGAATAGAAGAGCCCTCAAGGGGGTCTTCTATATCGAATAGAAGAGCCCTCAAGGGGGTCTTCTATATCGAATAGAAGAGCCCTCAAGGGGGTCTTCTATATGGAATAGAAGAGCCCTCAGGGGGCCTTCTATATAGAATAGAAGAGCCCTCAAGGGGGTCTTCTATATCGAATAGAAGAGCCCTCAAGGGGGTCTTCTATATCGAATAGAAGAGCCCTCAAGGGGGTCTTCTATATCGAATAGAAGAGCCCTCAGGGGGGTTTTCCCTAGATGACCTCTTTGGGGTCTCCTATGGAATAGCTGACCCCTTCTATGAAATAGTTGACCCCTTTGGGGTCTCCTATGGAAAAGTTGACCCCTTAGGGGCCTTCTATGAAATAGTTGACCCCTTAGGGGTCTTCTAAGAAATAGTTAACCCCTTAGGGGTCTTCTATGGAAAAGCTGACCCCTTAGGGGACTTCTATGGAAAAGTTGACCCCTTAGTGGTCTTCTATGGAAAAGTTGACCCCTTAGGGGACTTCTATAGGGTAGATGGTCTTCTAGAGAATAGCTGACCACATCGCCGCTAGTTTCGAAGACTCATCCCAAATTACATTTTTTTCTCCTCTCTTGCAGTCTGGCACTGTGGGCCTGCCCAAAGGCGTAATGGTGTCTCACGATGCCGTACTCTATGTCGTTCAAGCCTTGAATAAATCCTTGACGCAATTAAAACCCGGCATGGAATCCTGTATAACCTACTTGCCTCTCAGCCACATAGCTTCTCAATTTTTCGATATCTTCCTGGGCATGCTAAACGGAGCTAATATATATTTCGCCGACCGGAATGCCATGAAGGGTACTCTGTGTGAAACAATCAAGAAGGTACGGCCAACCTGGTTTTTTGGTGTACCCAGAATTTTTGAGAAACTCATTGAGAGGCAGGCGAAAACGGAAGAAGAACAGAAGACACTGTACAACAATGCTAGGGAACTGGTTCTGAAGCAGTATATGGACCAAATGGCAGGGTAAGAATTGGTGTAATTTTTAATGGAAATGGCATTCAGGAACATTTTTTTTTTAGAAATATTTCGGCCACATTGGCCCCTGGCTGGGCTTTGGATATTGTCAAGGAAATAAAAATGGGGTTGGGTTTGGATTGTCTAAAGTACTGCTTTACTGGTGGTGCCTCCGTATCGGAGGAACTAAAACTGCATTTCCTCAGCCTGGATTTGCCCCTGGTCGAGGCATTTGGCATGTCAGAGACCTGTGGCGGTGTGACTGCCGATTTCAAGCGGCCAAATCTGCAGACAAGTGGTCAAGCCTTGGCTGGCGTGGAATTTAAAATTGATAGTCCCGATATATATGGTGAAGGGGAGGTAAGGATACACTTTAATATTTTTTTTATTTTATTTTTTAATTTTTGGCATTTCAAAATCTTTAGATTCTAATAAGAGGCCGCTGTAATTTCATGGGTTATCTGAAGGAACCCCATAAGACCAGGGAAGCTTTCACGGAAGATGGCTTCATCAAAAGTGGTGATATTGGTCAGCTGGATGCTGGTGGAAATGTTTACATCAATGGCCGTATAAAGGAGATTATCATTACTTCGGGTGGAGAAAACATACCTCCCATTTATATTGAAGACCAAATCAAAAAGCTGTTGCCCTGTGTTGGTAATGCCATGGTCGTGGGTGATAATCGGAAATATTTAACAGTGCTCTTGACATTTAAGGTTAGAAATGAAAATTCAATAAAAAAATAAATTTGTATTTATTTCATATTTGATTTGAAATTATTTTTTTAGACTCTCATCAATCCCGATACCGGTTACCCCACAAACGCACTACTACCTGAGACCATCCAATGGCTGGCAACACTACAAGTACACTGTACAAAACTCAATGAACTTTTGAATATTCAGCTACCAGAAAATCTCCAACATTTGGATTTCAATAACATAGAAATTAAACTGGATCCCAGGGTATTGAAAGGTTTACAGGATGGCATTGATAGCTACAATCAAGTGGCTCTTTCAAATGCCCAGAAAATACAATATTTTAGAGTGTTGCTACATGACTTTTCAATACCAACTGGGGAATTGGGTAAGAAGAACATATGTCTAATTAAATAAATTTTTTATTATTTTTTTAATTTTTTCAGGACCCACCCTCAAGAGTCGACGCAGTTTTGTTCAGCAGAAATATGCCAAAATTATAGATCAAATGTACAATTAATAAAAAAATGAATTTTTAACGGGTATTTAATTTTTGAAATAAAAAAGCGGAAAGTAAGTCAAAATGACTTTAAATTAGGCCGGGCCGAACTTTTTATACCCTCCACTTCTATGTTTATTAAAGAAAAATGATATAATGAAAGAAGTGAAATATGTTAACTTAGAATTCCATATTATCATCTTATTCGGTTCGGAAATTGAGGTAGAAACCTTCAAAATACCGAAAATCGGAAGGTAACATACGAATTAGTAGACCTGAATAAACGATTTTTTGCAAGGAAAGAACTGACCTACCAAGAACCCCAATTGTCAAGTTTAGCTAATTTATTTGGATATTGTGGCAGAAACCTTCAAAATGCGGGTCACAGATGGAGTGTATGACAGATGTACCAAATGATTTTTTTTTTTTTTGAAAATCGCGCTATAAGTGTACGAAAAGTACTAAAATGTACTACATTTGGTTAGAACTAAAAACTTGAAATTTTGAATGGGAATAAGGGTTGAGGAGTATAGATGTCTATTTAAAGAAGTGTGTACTCAAGTACACGAAAAGTACTAAATGGTACTAAATTTAGTTCAATTTGAAGGACAAGATGGAATTTCGTACTTCCCTCGGCGGAGACCGTAGAGCGTATATGTCAACGGACAGTGGTTGTTGAGTTTGCTCTTTTTGCTTTATCCTTGCTATTCATCAAAGACCCTTGGCGATCACCGCAATCCTCGTTTATTTATAGCCACGAAAAAATATTTCTAAAAAAATCCACGTATATTTATAGCCTCGAAGAAATATTTTTACAAAATCCACGTATATTTATAGCCTCGAAAAAATATTTTAAAAAAATCCACGTTTGTTTAAAGCTTCGAAAAAATATTTTTAAAAAAATCCCCGATTGTTTATAGCCGCGAAAAAATATTTTTGGAAAATCCACGTTTGTTTATAGCCTCGAAAAAATATTTTTTAAAAAATCCACGCTCTCCTGTTGCTTCGAAAAAATATTTTTAAAAAATCCACGTTTGTTTATAGCTACGAAAAAATATTTTTAAAAAATCCATGTTTGTTTATAGCTACGAAAAAATATTTTTAAAAAATCCACGTTTGTTTATAGCTACGAAAAAATATTTTTAAAAAATCCACGTTTGTTTATAGCCTTGAAAAAATATTTTTTAAAAAATCCACGCTCTCCTGTTGCTTCGAAAAAATATTTTTAAAAAATCCACGTTTGTTTATAGCTACGAAAAAATATTTTTAGAAAATTCACGTTTGTTTACAGCCTTGAAAAAATATTTTTAAAAAAATTCACGTTTATTTACAGCCACGAAAAAATTTTTTTAAAAAAATCCACGTTTATTTATAGCCACGAAAAACATTTAAAAAAACCACGTTTATTTATAGCAACGAAAAAATATTTTTAAAAAAAATCCACGTTTATTTATAGCCACGAAAAAATATTTTTAAAAAAATCCACGTTTATTTATAGCCACGAAAAAATATTTTTAAAAAAATTTACGATTATTTATAGCCACGAAAAAATATTTTTAAAAAATTTACGTTTATTTATAGCCACGAAAAAATATTTTTAAAAAAAATCCACGTTTATTTATAGCCACGAAAAAATATTTTTAAAAAAATCAACGTTTATTTATAGCCACGAAAAAATATTTTTAAAAAAATCCACGTTTATTTATAGCCACGAAAAAATATTTTTAAAAGAATCCACGTTTATTTATAGCCTCGAGAAAATATTTTTAAAAATTCCACGTTTATTTATAGCCTTAAAAAATATCTTTAAAAAATCCACGTATTTTTGTAATCTCAAAAAAATATTTTCTAATAAATTCAAAAACAACGTCTAGGTGGTCAAGAAAATTGGAATAAATCCATGTCTAGGTGGTCAAAGGAATTGTTTTTATGAATTCACGTACAGGTGGCATACGAAAAAAAAAATTAATGAATACACATACAGATGACACACAAAAATATTTCTAGTAAATCCCCGTAAGACGTCCTACGAAAAAATACTTTTCAATAACTCCAAATCACATATACAGGGTGAGATGAAAAAAACAACTTTAGACTGCTGTCATTTCTAAGCCACTCGTCCGACAGCTATTAAAATTATTCCAGTAACAGCTCATTATATTGTTTACAACCGTACCAAAGCCTTTTTAATGAGAATTATCCAGAAAAAAGTCAATCGTGATGGAATTCAAGCGTGATAGTGTGATTTCTCTATATTTGGCGGGAAAACCATAAGTGGCTATTGTTAGAGCACTCCAGCATTTAAATGTAAATAAATCTTTTGTGTCTCGTACCATCGCTCGTTATCGTGATATTGGAGGCGTAGCCTGAAGTCAAGGAAGTGGACTGAAGGAAATAGCTCCACCAGCAGAAATGGTTCGAAAAGTATAGAAGCGACTTGATCGAACCCCGAGTCAAGTGGCCGAAAAATGGCTCGTGAGCTGAACATATCGCAATATTCCATTCGGCAAATATTGAAAAATGAGCTCGGGGTAAAGCCATTGAAATTCCAAAAAGAATAAGAATATATTTTAAGGAATATTTTTTCAAGGACCAAAAGTCAAAAAAACGTGTATTTTTTAGGGATTATTATTTCAAGGGCCAAATTCCAAGAAACGTGAATTTTTTAAGGATTAATTTTTTTCAAGGGCCAAAAGTCCAAGAAACGTGGATTTTTAAAAGAATATCTTTTCAAGGACAAAAAGACCAAGAAACGTGGATTTTTAAGAAACATATTTTCAACGACCATAGACCAAGAAACGTGATTTTTTAAGGATTATTTTTTCAAGGACCAAAAGTCCAAGAAACTTGGATTTTTTAAGGAATATTTTTCAAGGACCGAAAGTCCAAGAAGCTAACATTTTTAACGAATATTTCTTCAAGGACCACCAGTTTGAAAAACCGTGAATTTTTTAAGGATTTATTTTTTAATACCATCAGTTGAAAAAAAAATGGATTTTGTAAATAATATTGTTTAAAGGAATATTTTTCATGAACCATCCAACAACATGGATTTTTTTTAAAGAATATTTTTTAAGTACCAAAACTCTAAGATACGTGGATTTTTAAGGAATATTTTTTCAATGACCAAAAGTCCAAGAGACTGGGATTTTTTAAGGATTATTTTATCAAGGACCAAAAGACCAAGAAATCTGATTTTTAAAGATTTTTTTTTTCAAGGACCAACAGACCAAAATAATGGGTTTTCAAGGATTATTTTTTCAATGACCAAATGTTCAAGAAACGTAGATTTGTTAAAGAATATTTTTCAAAGACCAACTTGCGTTTTTTAAAGAATATTATTCAAGGACCAAATGTCCAACTTGAATTTTTTAAAGAATATACTTTCAAGGACCTAAAGTCCAAAAAACTTCTCTTTTTTTTAGGAAATATTTTTTCAAGGACCATCAGTTGAAGAAACGTGGAAAGGTTTGTAAAGAATATTGTTTCAAAGACCAAAAGTCCAAGAATGGTGCATGTTTTAAGGAATATTTTTAAATTTTTTTTTACTTTTTATTTTTTATCTGTAATTGGGACATGCAGGTGTTTTGGAAATGTTTACTGTAATTGTCCTAAAAATACCAAAATTGTACCACATTTGCTATTGGGTGAAAGAATAGAGCTGAAATTTGATATATATGTCTATGTTGGTGTCTGTGGTTTCGGAAATGTACAATATTTGTATGTAACGTATTAAATGGTACTAAAATTTTGTATTGGGTGAAGGAATAGATTTGGAATCGCAAAATTTGATATTTGGAACTGAGATATGCAGGTGGTTTTGGAATGGACGAAAAGTATTAAATGGTACAAAATTTTTTTTTCGGTGAAGCTTTCGATCTTAATTCAATATTGGATAAAGGAATAAAGCTGAAATCTTGAAAATTCATGCAGATGCCACTGTTGGTAGCTTTGGCTAAAATATTGAGATGGTTTCGGAATTGTGTCCAATAATTGTACGAAAAATACTTATTAGTACTAAATTTAGTATTTGAGTGAAAAGATAGTGAAGAAATTCTAAAATTTGATATTAAGGTCACTGTTGGTATCTGGAATTGAGGTTATGGAGGTGGTTTTGGAAATGTGTGCGTATGTGTGTATATGAAAAGTACTAGTTGTTACTAAATTTGATGCTGAGTGGCCTGAAATCCGAATATTGCATATTGAGGTATCTCTAGTTGTTCAAAAAGTACCAAAGGGTACGAGTTTTCGATCACTTTTGGTATCTACAATATAGAGATGTAGATTGTCTTAGATATACGTAGTAAATGTTACTACATTTTGAAGGGGTCAGTGTTTGTTTCAGGGGTTTACATATAGAGACGTGGAAATAGTTTTGGACTGGTTTTACTAATATTCTTCTCGATAAACTTCTAAATTGAAAAATTTGAAGAAAATATAGACATTTTTCTATTATCCTCTCCGAAAAAGGACCTTTTCAAAAATATATAACACCTTGAAAGTCTGAAAATTTAGTACGAAGTATGAGGTTTTGATTTCTATTTTTTTTTTGTTAAAATGAACAAATTGTGCATTTTAAGTACTAAAAAGGCCTAACACGAAGTCTTAGAACGAATCTAAAATTTTAAGTGGGACTTTTCGTTGAGGGTATACATCTGTCGGCACGCCGTCTCTGGCTGTAGTACCCATTACGAAATCTAAATGCGAAATTTGAAAAAGATTGCTAAAAAATGGCGCTAAAATCATGAAAATAACGAGAATGGGGGGGGGGGAGGGTCCGTAATATGGAGGTTAAACGATATAGTGGACCTAAATGGACAATTCTCTTTCAGGGGGTAAAGTGGTCAGAAGGAATTCCTTGGGTGGATTTTCATACACTTCCATTGAAAAATGTGGTTAAAATCATCAAAATACCGAATATTGGGAGGTACCACTACATGGGGGCTACACGATATCGTGGATCAATATAGACATTTCTCTTCCAAGGGTTAAAGTGCTTAGAAAGAATTTCTAGTGTGGATTTTTAGA